GGCTCACCCCCCCCCCCCCCCCCCCCCGGATGAACGAAAGCTATCGATCATGAATACATTTATATATGTTCATGCCCCGATCGATGATACTGTTCTTGAGGCTTAGGCCTTGTTTAGGCCTTGACAAGTGCAGCTGCACCTCGAGAAATTTGGTGCAATGGCCCGGTGCTGTGGGGTGCAGCGGTACCTTGAGAAATTTGGTGCAATTGCCCGGTGCAGCGAACCCTGGTGCAGCCAAGGCCAGATTTTGCCAAGAAATTACCCCATTCGGCTTGATACCGCCGATCTGGTAACCAACAAAACATATACAAGTCACGGGATAAGCCGAATTAGGCAATGTTCGCATTGTTTACAGTGCAGCTGCAGTGCAGCCAAAGTACCGCTGCACCGAACGTCGCCCTTGGTGCAGTCGGCCCCACGTACCACTGCACCAGTACCGCTGCACTTGTCAAGGCTTAGCCCGATCATTCTGTGGGCCCTTAGCAGTTATGGGTATTAGTCTCACGACACATTAGCAAGAGATAGCGAGCGCGAAGGGCTCTCCTAGGCCATAGAGAGCCATTTTCACTAGGTTCATGGTTGAAACTTCAAATCGTACTAGTCATTATATATATCCTAGGCTCACCTTTCACAAAGTCAGTTGCATCTGTTATACGCCAACCGCACTTGTACGCGGAACACTATTTATGCGTCCATCGTTGCGATAGGCGCAAAGTGATATTTCCCAAAACGGGCGTTCAACTGCAGACCCACCCAGGAGTCCCCACAGTAGAGGCGACTTTCCTATCCTCGCATAATCCTAGTTCCCCGTCGCTGCCACTCAGGTGGACTATTTTTTTGACTATAGTAAAAGGCTAGATTGTTAAAGCAAATGTGAAAGTGGGAAAATCATCTTTTCCACTTTACTTTGGAGAAATGCACTTTTGCGTTTTATGTACGCATCGGCAAAACACCCACGTTGCTAGTCGGCGCATCACAGCCTTGGGGACTGCCACACATGTATTTAGTCAATTCATAAAATATACCCAGCTTACGACATTCCAGTGACTACAGTAAGCCCTTGCGGGGTGGGAGAGGTGGGACAGGTTGGGGAGAGCAGGTTGGTCGAGGAAGTTGCCACTTTGGGTCGAGTATGGGTTTAGCGAGGGAATCCGAGGTTGGTGTTGGAATGATCCTCCACTATATTAGATACCGTTGGTGTTAATTGGGGCTGAAACTGTATATTGAAGTTGGCAGCACTCGTTTGGAGTTGTATCCTGTCCGAGGAAAGATGGGGACTAGGAGTTGACTGTCTAGGCGAAGGGGATGCGTTGGTTGGGTGGGGGAGTGTGTTGGGGTTTCCGAAGTTCTTTTTGTCCTGATAGATGACTTGCCATATGCAGCCTGCTGGATGAAGTTGATGTACCTTTTCGAAAATGGTGCACTTGAAGATGGGCTAGGCGCTTGGCCGATCGATAAGCAAAGTAGCATGCCACGTCTCCGACCCGAGGCTCGTAGTAGAAGCCATTATGGGCCAGTTGACGCAGCGTGACGATAGGGAGCACTTGTCTTTAGAATGAAAGAGATCTGGCGGCGATGGTGGAGTAGGTGGTCGAAATAAGGAATACCTCCTGGACGTTGTGATGTGGGGTACAGTCGTAAATAATAGTTCAAATTTAGCATCCGTATTCAACTCGTAAGGTCGCCAGGATCTTTAAATTGTTAGTCTGGAAAACAAGTTAGACAGACAGACGCCTGCTAATATGGAGACGTGGCAGGAATACGAAATCCTAGTTTGTTACATGTAGCCAGTTGCCCTCTCGAGTGACCACTGCGAATGAGCGAGCTGAATAGAGACACTACTAGTGGATAATGTTTCTTTACTTCTGTAATAGGCTTGACCTCCTAATAGGGGACAAACATCTGCGGAACTGATTGGTCAAAATCATGCTGATATTGGATAGGCTAGTCTTCAAACGAGGACGATGGCCACTAGGTCGTGTCACAATAACCATGATCTTCAACCGTATGACATCTATAGCTTAAATTATCAATCAGGTGGTCCTAATTCGAGAGACACGCGGCTAAGATACTTCTTTCTATTGAAGATGTCTTCGGAAGAAAACATACGAGCTATTTATAACGCGACATAGGTATAAGAGTTGCAAGAATCTAGGGCAATACAAATTGTCCAAAGGCTGAATATAGGATTATTCTGTCGCTAATATAATACGAAATGACGAACAGCCGATGGCCAATTTTGTCGCAGACATAACAAAAGCAACGGAAGTTGCTGGTCGATATTCAGCAGGTAACCAAAGGAGGTTGAGTCCATTAAATGTTACCCAAGAACGGTTGTCACTCAGACCATAGCCATATTGTTCTGGCAAGGTCGGACAGTGATGAGTGGACGTGACGGGACTCGTGGATCCTATATCAAACGTACCAATTGATGTGTACAGTCGATGACTGGAATTGACTTTATAAAATTGAACGAAGTAGAGGTGATATATACTTCTAATTCGCACCGGCCGGTAGCCGGGTTCCAGGTCCCCACTGGTGCTTCCAGTTCTAGTTATTTGCAGATGCCAAGATGCCGAGCATCTCAAGGGAAACAACACGATCCAATGATATTCTGCCGTTGTTCAGCTGAAGGGGTCAATGCAGTGGTCACGCGACTTGGGTGATTCTCACCCCGATTCTCACCCTGTCTTGATTCGTCTGCGAAGTTGGTCTTCAATGCTCAGCCTAAACGGGGAGCTTGGTACGGCTCGTCCCACAGCCGACAGAATACACTATGAGGAATGAGACTTCAGGAAAGATCATTTATGTAAACAATAGGTCTCACGAACCGTGAAATCTATTGAGTGGTAAGTTAGACCAGAGATGAGTGCGTTCCAGGGACTGACATCCGGGTGTTGATTTATCTCTTTGTTGAGCAGGCACACCCAGAAGGCGGCTCCCACCAATAGCATTGTTTTTCTTGCCGCTCGCTGCTGCGCTTCGTGTCCACTACGAGGCTCGAGGCTGAGCTTTCCCGGTTTGCGACAATTTCTCTTCTCTCCACCTTGCAAGCTTTCTGTCTCTTCTCATCAAAGAGATTTTTTAAACCTAAATTCTTATTGTTCAAGAAACTTGCACGATTAGTGTAACATATCGGTTGCATCCTCGATTCAAGCCTCTACTGCACCGCAGACGTCCAGACTTCCGTATACAAAACTGCGATCGTGGAGAAAGTACAATTTTTGCAGGTTTTTGGTCGAGTAGCAGGCATGTCTGACCCTGGGAGCTACACCGTGGGCTGGATCTGCGCCTTAGCCGTGGAATACGTTGCCGCACAAGAATTTCTCGATGAAGAGCACGAAAAAGCGAGCTTTGTGTCGCCCAATGACACCAATGATTATACGTTAGGCAAGATGTGCGAACACAATGTTGTCATCGCCGTTTTGCCTGATGGTGAATATGGCACAGCTTCCGCGGCCAATGTAGCAACAAATATGCTCACCACATTTCGCAACGTCAGGATAGGTCTCATGGTCGGCATTGGGGGTGGTGTGCCAAGTGAGAACCACGACGTTCGTCTTGGCGATGTTGTGGTCAGTGCGCCCCGTCGGGGTGTGGGTGGTGTGTTCCAGTACGACTTTGGCAAATCGATACAAGGTCAGGGTTTTCAGCATACACGGTTCTTAAACCAACCACCAACTCTATTACGGACCGCTATGACGGGGATCCAGGCGCAATACGAGAGGAAGGGACATCGGCTCGAGGAGGCCATCAATAGCATTCTCGACAAGAACGCGAGACTACGCCGAAAGTATGAACGGCCGGAATCAAACACGGATAGGCTCTTTCAGTCCAACGTGACCCACGAGCCAGAATGCGGTGCCGCATCTTGTACAAATGATGCCTCAAACTTGATTCTGCGACGTGAACGCACCGAAAACGAGGATGATCCTGCTATCCACTACGGTCTGATTGCTTCTGCCAACCAATTGATGAAAGATGCTTTGGTTCGAGATAGACTCGCAGCGGAAAAAGACGTTCTCTGTTTCGAAATGGAAGCTGCTGGGTTGGTGAACACTTTTCCCTGTCTAGTTATCCGAGGCATCTGCGACTACTCGGACTCGCATAAGAACGAAACATGGCAAGGGTACGCAGCGATGGTGGCAGCTGCATACGCCAAAGACCTGTTACAGAGGATGCCTCTGAATAAGATCGAGGCCGAGGAGAGGATTAGCGTTACCATATCGGGTTAGTGTAAGGCAATCTTAGAATACGTTCCGAACCAAGATTGACCTAAGGCACTGTACAGACGCGCTGAAAAGCGCCAACCAACGCCTAGACCGAGCGTACGATCAAAGAGAACAACACCATAATGAACAAAAGACGCGAGCTTTGACGGACCAGCAACAACGTTGTCACCAAGTTTTCAAGATATCGAGTTACACGGAGCAAAAGGACATCAATCCACGACGAGCAGAAGGAACCTGCCAGTGGGCTCTACAAAGCCCTGAATATATTCGTTGGTGGGAGAGCAATTGCAATGACCTTCTATGGGTTTCAGCCGATCCAGGCTGTGGAAAGTCTGTACTAGCCAGATCGATTATCGATGACTTCGTGCAATCTTTTAATCCAGCAGCGACAATATGTTACTTCTTTTTCAAGGACAACGATGAACAGAATCATCTTGCTGCAGGACTGTGTTCCGTATTACATCAGCTCTTTAGCCAGCGGCCACATCTATTGCACCATGCTATACCATCCTGGGAAAAGAACGGGGACAGACTCCGAGAAGAGATTGATGAACTATGGCAAATATTTGTAGCAGCAACATCAGCTGATATATCATGCAAGACGATATGTATATTTGATGCACTTGATGAATGCCGTGAAATTGATCAGAAACGATTGATCGAGAAGCTCCAGGTCTTTCACCGCAAGCCACGTTCATCAACACAGTCTACTTATTTGAAATTCTTGGTCACCAGTCGTCCATATGACCATATCCAGAATCGCTTTCGAGCGATCACGGCCTCCTTCCCATATCTCCATCTAAGGGGGGAGGAAGAAAATGATCAAATCCACAAGGAGATTGATCTGGTCGTGAAGATTCGAATAGAGGAGCTGGCTAAAACAGCATCTTTGTCCTGGGATATACAGCAGCAACTCGAACACCAGCTTCTACGAATGGAACACCGCACGTATCTTTGGTTATATCTAGCCATTGATGATATTCAATCTACATTCGAGAACAGCCTTCGGCCTGCCGAGGAATCTATTCGAATGATACCTCCTTCAGTGGATAAGGCGTATGAGAGAATTCTTAGTCGCGTCCCTTGCGGTCAGGAAAGTACTGTGAGAAAGGTCTTACAGATAATTGTTGGAGCACGACGTCCTTTGACAACAGCGGAAATGGCCATGGCGCTAGGTATATCCATCTCTCCACGATCGCAGACTGCAGCACAGACTGGACTAGACCCACAACAGATGGGCCATAAACTCCGTCGTCTATGTGGGTTATTTGTTTTCATTAATAGTTCCAAGATCTACCTCATTCATCAGACAGCAAAGGAATTTCTAATCGAAAAAGCATCGAAAGATCTCCATTTCGCATACTCATGCAGCCTAACTGATACTGAAAATCAAATGGCTCTTGTGTGTGTGCGCTACCTGTTGATGGAGGATCTGAAGGAGGATGAAGGCGAATCGTGCTCTCTCCCGCAAAGCTTCTTAGAGTATTCTGCAGTACATTGGGCCGAACACGTACAGAAAATGACTTTGCATTCAGACCAAGAAGTAACCGATCTGATACATCGGTTATATGACATGAGTGGAAAGCGATTCAATCTATGGTTTCCAATCTTTTGGATGGCAGTGGCTCAACACCACTCTGGTTATGTGCCTAAACTGAATGCACTGCACCTGGCAGCATTTAACGGTCACGACCAACAGGCTAGGGCACTACTTGCTGTAAATAAAGAGGTTCTCAACACACCAGATGATACACGAACATATCCGGTCATATGGGCTTCGCTAAATGGGCACGACAACATGGTGCAGCTGCTCATAGAACGAGGGGCCGATGTCAATGCCCAGGGCGGGCCCTACGGAAATGCCATCCAGGCTGCTTGTTCCGGCGGACACGAGAATATCGCGCACATGCTGCTTGAGCGCAAAGCCGATGTTAACGCCCAAGGTGGAGAACATGGAAATGCCCTCCAGGCTGCCTGCTACGGGGGACATGACAAAATTCGAATTGCGCAGATGCTACTTGAGCGAGGAGCCGATGTCAACGCCCGGGGTGGACGCTACGGAAATGCCCTTCAGGCTGCTTGTTATGGGGGACATGACAAGATTGCACAGATGCTGCTAGAGCGGGGAGCGGATGTCAATGCCCAGGGTGGTTCCTACGGGAATGCCCTACAAGCTGCTTGTGCTGGAGGACATGAAAAGGTTGTACAAATACTACTTGGGCGGGGAGCCAATTTCACCGCCCGGGGCGGGCCCTACGGTAATGCCCTCCAGGCTGCTTGTTCCGGCGGACACGAGAAGATCGCGCAGACGTTGCTTGAGCGAGGAGCCGATGTCAATACCGAGAGTGAAAATTGCGGAAACGCCCTTCAGGGTGCTTGTTCGGGAGGACACGACAAAATTGCAGAGATGTTGCTAGAGCGAGGAGCCGATGTCAACGCCCAGGGTGGACACGACGGAAATGCCCTTCAGGCTGCTTGTCATGGGGGACATGACAAGGTTGCGCAGATGCTACTTGAGCGAGGAGCCGATGTCAACGCCCGGGGTGGGTACTTCGGAAGTGCCCTCCAGGCTGCTTGTTATGGGGGACATGACAAGGTTGCACAGACGCTGCTAGAGCGGGGAGCGGATGTTAATGCCCAGGGTGGTTACTACGGGAATGCCTTACAAGGTGCTTGTTCTGAAGGTGACGATACGATTGTGCAAATCCTCTTGGCGCACGGGGCCGATGTCAACGCCCGCGGTGGACGCTACGGAAATGCCCTCCAGGCTGCTTGTTATCAGGGACATGACAAGGTTGCACACATCCTACTAGAGCGCGGAGCCGATGTCAACGCCCAGGGTGGGGACTTCGGAAACGCTCTTCAGGGTGCTTGTTGTAAAGGGCACGACGAGATCGCTGAGATGCTACTAGAACGAGCCGTCGATGTCAATACCCAGGGTGGGCACTACGGAAATGCACTTCAGGGTGCTTGTTCGGAAGGACACGGCAAGATTGCACAGATGCTACTAGAGCGAGGAGCCAATCTCCACGCCCAGGGTGGTTTCCACGGAAATGCCCTTCAGGCTGCTTGTAGTGGACATGACAAAATTGTACAGATGCTGCTAGAGCGAGGAGCTGATGTCAACATCCAAGGGGGGTTCTACGGAAATGCGCTTCAGGCTGCTTGTTCCGTGGGACATGACAGAATCGCACAGATGCTACTTGAGCGAGGAGCTGATATTAACGCCCAAGGTGGAGAATACGGAAATGCGCTTCAGGGTGCTTGTTGTGAGCTACAGGATACAACTGAAATTGCACAGATGCTACTTGAGCGAGGAGCCGATGCCAACGCCCAGGGTGGTTCCTACGGAAATGCCCTCCAGGCTGCTTGTCATGGGCAACATGAAAAAATTGAACTTGCACAAATATTACTTGAGCGTGGAGCCGATTCCAACGCCCAGGGTGGACGTTACGGACATGCCCTTCAGGCTGCTTGTTTTGAAGGGCATTACAAGACTGCACAGTTGCTGCTAGAGCAAGGGGCCGATGTCAACGCCCAGGGTGGACACTACGGAAACGCCCTCAAAGCTGCTTGTTCTGAAGGACATTACAAGATTACACAGATGCTATTGGAGCGAGGAGCCGATGTCAACACCCAGGGTGACAATTGCGCAAACGCTCTTCAATGTGCTTGTTATAGGGGTCATTATATGATTGTAAAGATGCTGCTAGAGCGTGGAGCAGAAGTCAACGCCCAAGATGAAGACTACGGAAATGCTCTTCAGAGCGCTTGTTCCGAAGGACACGAAGGTATCGCGCAGATACTACTCGAGCGGGGAGCGGATGTCAATGCCCAGGGTGGTTACTATGAAAATTCTCTTCAGGGTGCTTGTTATAAAGGGCATTACAAGGTTGCACAGATGCTGCTAGAGCGTGGAGCAGAAGTCAATTCCCTAGGTGGACACTACGGAAACGCCCTGCAGGCTGCTTGTTCAGGCGGACATGAAAACATCGCGCAGATGCTACTCGAGCGAGAAGCCGATATTAACGCCCTAGGTGGATATTACGGTAACGCCCTTCAGTGTACTTGTTATAGGGGATTTTACAAGATTGCACACATGCTGCTAGAGCACGGAGCCGATGTCAACGCTCAGGGTGGACAGTACGGAAACGCTCTTCAGGCTGCTTGTTATAGGGGACAAGACAAGATCACGCAGATACTGCTAGAGCGGGGTGCCGATATCAATGCTCAGGGTGGGGAAAATGGAAATGCCCTCCAGGCTGCTTGCTTAGAAGGACACGAGAATATCGCGCAGATATTGCTTGAGCGCGGAGCCGATGTTAACGCCCAGAGTGAAAATTGCGCAAACGCCCTTCAGTGCGCATGTTATAGTGGATATTATAAGATTGTACAGATGCTGCTAGAGCGAGGAGCTGATGTTAACGCCCAGAGTGAAGACTACGGAAATGCTCTTCAGTGGGCTTGTTCCGAAGGACACGAAAGCATCGCGCAGATGCTACTCAAGCGTGGAGCCGATATCAATTCCCAGGGTGGACACTACGGAAACGCTCTTCAGGCTGCTTGTTATAAAGGGCATTACAAGGTTGCACAGATGCTGCTAGAGCGTGGAGCAGAAGTCAATTCCCAGGGTGGACACTACGGAAATGCCCTCCAGGCTGCTTGCTCCGGAGGACACGAGAAGACCGCGCAGATGTTGCTCAAGCGCGGAGCCGATGTCAACGCTGAGGGTGGCTTCTACGGAACTGCCCTCCAGGGTACTTGTTATGAAGGGCATTACAAGATTGCACAGATGCTGCTAGAGCGAGGAGCCGATGTCAATTCCCAGGGTGGGCCCTACGGAAATTCCCTCCAGGCTGCTTGTTCCGGCGGACACAAAAACATCGCGCAGATACTACTCGAGCGAGGAGCCGATATTAGCGCCAGTAGTGGGCACTATGGAAACGCCTTTCAGGCCGCTTGTTATAAAGGGCATTACAAGGTTGCACAGATGCTGCTCGAGCGAGGAGCCGATGCCAATGCCCAGGGGGGGGCCTACGGAAATGCCCTCCAGGCTGCTTGCTCCGGAGGACACGAGAAGATCGCGCAGATGTTGCTTGAGCACGGAGCCGATTTCAATGCCCAGGGGGGGGAAGATGGAAATGTCCTCTAGGCTGCCTGCTGAAAAAGACATCAAAAGATCGTGCTTGGGCGAGGGACTGATTAATTGACACCCCACTCTCCTAACCCAGATGACTTACCACTTCATGAAATTTCCATAACATATAGTCTATACGCTAAGAAGATTTATTGTGATCCCTCTATTTCTTTGTCCCTGGCCCCTTTGGTAACAGTGTTGGGATCCTTACGGGTGATATTGATTGCTAGAGAATGAACATGCAGTAAACTCATTGAAGTTCGAGACGCTGCGTTGATCAACTAGTTAGTCTTGCAAGAAAGCAATCAAAGTGCATTTATAGTATGTATTTTGTTTTTCTTCTTCTCAGTCACTTCCCCTTCGTGTCGTGTGGCAGCTTAGATGAATCAACCGTCGAGTATGCCCTCTGCATTTAATTCTGTTCATGTTTTACTTACTACAGAGTACACTGCACATTATACAGCAAAGTATGCGGCCAAATACTAAGCATTATCTTCAGGCATCAGTAATAATATATTGGTCTCTGATGGATAAACAATAGCACAAATATCCCAATACAGGGGCCCGGAAATAGAGATTGCTTGTCTCGGGTGGAACCTGTTTGCGCTAGTGGATCTATCTCTCATGAGCTTCTTCGACTGGCAGTGAATCGCAGAAAATCCTCTACGTGAGCAAGACGTATAGAGAGACCGTGAACCGTTGGTTTCTCCGGAAGAAGTTACAGATCACAGATACGGATTGTTCGTCTGAATGCGGCGTAGATGAAATTTTGAGAGCGATATTGCGACTCTCGAAGACTATTAGGTCAGCCATGTTACATCGACCGAAATCGCAAGACTCATTCCGGGATTGGACCGCGCTACTCTACAACGGGGCGTGGTATGCAAAAGAATATGGCAATACTTCGGATACAAAGGATACGGCAGGTATGTCGACGAAGAAAAGAATGAAGATTGGCGACGCCGAAGATGAAGCTACCTTAAGCCTACTTGGAGACGCGGTATGTAGCCGACATAGTAATAATACTAAAACGCGCATGCAGAATAAGTGCTTACAACGAGAAAGCAGTATGAGCCAAGGGATAAATACAAAGCGACCAAAATTAGATTATTTGTCAATGTTCCACCGTGGACGCACTTCCTCAACCGATCATCACTATAGATCATTTCTAAGTATAGATATAGCAAATTAACTATGAGGTAAGAACAGCCAATTGAGATAAAGCTTGTCGTCCCGAAGGGTTTGCAGGTTTTGCATCACTTGGTGGCCTCAGGCACTCCACAGGGAGTGGATGCCTGAGGCTTGCCAGGCCCTAGGGAGTGGTCCTATACGCACAAAAAAGAAGGGTTTCTATTGGCTAGGGAGCGAGGGATCCACCGGTTATGTAATTCATTCGCTTATATGGCCTAGCTAGTACTACCCAATAGAAACCATGCGATCCTTACAGAATCTCAAGCTGCTGGAGCTTGGGCCACGTGACTGTATGTGGCTGCCTGATGGTTCAGGCTAGTACTGCGTGTTTGGCTGTGGGGTAACGTATTTCACAAGCGAGTGGATCAGCCAAAATACCATAGTAAATCTACATTTATATCTCAACAACCATATGTTTATTTTATCTCCTTGTTTGTCGATAGTTATTGATAAGACTTATTAGCACTATATATCAATTTCGAAGAGGGTAGAAGACTATCTTATTATCATTTCAAAAATTACCGAAAAATACGTTACTAAAATCTAGAAATATATATATTGCAGTCATAAAGACATGAACTTTTCCCAAACTCCCTAAATATGCTAGATATCACGTAAAAAGCATCAAGCTATAAGGAAAATTCCCTATAGACAACCGTTGTTGAGATATCAAGTTGTAATTTATCGCATTTACTATGTGTTTTGGGGGTGGCCAGCTCGCTTACCGAATACGTTAACTATTAGTTGACTAGTTAGTTAGATAGCTCTCTCTCTCCTTCCCCTCTCCCCTTCCCCCCTTTCTCCCCTTCTCCCCTTCGTTCTCTCTTTAGTTCTCGTTAGCTGGTAATCCAGATCGCCTGGCTGCCTCTCTTCCTTGCGCTCTGCTCGCCGTCAGGTTCTGAGCCCTTGCTTGACCTCAAGTCAGTTCCGAGCACTCGACTCGATCTTTCCTACTAAGACTCCATCAGATCTTGATGCAACACGGCGAACGCCATGAAGCCGCCGAATTTCCACTACGTCCCAACCGAAAGAATGAAAATTGGAAGCTACAGCGCTATACGCATAGTACCCCGTTTGCAGTGTGCACTGGGTACGATGGGCAAAAAGAACCCCGTTAGATGCACAGCCGATGTGTATTGTCGAAATATGAGACAAAATTGTTGGCTACTGGAATATTCATTTTAGTTCTGTAATGTTGATTATGTACGAAGTAGGCTTCAAGTAAGACATAATTCATTCACCTCACTGCGTTGCATAGTACCACCAAAATGTCAATCAATGCTGAATCGTGACATCAACCTTTAAACATCTTCCGCCTTCTTCCCTTCTGGATCAGAAGTGTCATGTGGTTCGTAGGGTATCTCGTTCCATGTGTCACTTGCTCCAGGAATAGGAACCATCCAGGCTAGGATCCAATAAACTGCCCCGGAGACAATGAACCCCGAAAAGTAGTTAATATTGTAGATATACTTGGCTCCCATAGGAACATGGACACCAATGGCGCCAGCAAAACCAACAATGTTGACTAAGATGCCGCTTATGTAGGCGGCATAACCGTGCCAGGAAACCCCTAGGGTTCCGTAATAAAGACCATCCCGTTGAGCGCTATACAGCGCTTGGATATCAAGGAAACCCTTGCGGACTAGATAGTAGTCGCTAGCCATGACTCCTGCGATAGCAGAGAGAAATACCGAGTACGCAGAGAGGTACAGGGTGAATTTACTCGAAGATTCAACCAAGGTCCACTATAATGGGTGATTAGTATTTGCCACTAGTGAGCTTTTGAAGTTACTGACCGGACACATGGCAAGGCCAATTGCCGCACACAGATATCCGCCGCGTCGAATCGTGCAAAACCGAGGGAGAAGAGCTGTGAGATTTGTACCAGCTGACACGGAGTTGGCTGCAATATTTGTCCCTAGCTGTGCCAGAGCAAAGCCAGCTCCGATGACAAAAATCCCAAATCGCTCGGCAGAGCTTGCATCCTGCAAAAACATACCAAGAAGGGTAAGGGGGTTCCAAACCGCTTGACCAAATATAACACTTGACGATGAGGAAACAATGATCCCGATGAATGATGTGACGGCAAATCCAACAGGAATTGTGATTAGCTGGGGCCATAGTGCGTCCTTAGGGTCGCGAGCATATCTTGTGAAGTCGGGGTTGTTGATAACTAATGCTGCAAAGTTCGCGATACAGTTCATAATGCTTTTCACAAATGCCCAGGCCAAAGCACTGCCATGAGCTTTGTTAGGTTGGTCAATTATCGGCCCGAGTCCGTGGGCACGAGCAATTGCCCAGCCAAAAAAGGCAATAGCACAAGCCGGGGAAAAGTATGCCTTGGCCGTAAAAACATGCCGGACCTTATAAATGGGAAACCAAAGAGCCGGCAAGGACAGCAACCAAAAAATCAAGAAGCTAACAAACTGCTTAGTGGTTACCCCTGATGAACTGGGAATTGTATTCGGCAGATTGTTGTAGCTTGGCCAAATAGCAGCAATCATCAAAGTCACACATTCACCTGAAAGTCGAAAGAGTTAGCTCATCCATCAGTGAGTGTTGTCTTCAAATAAATTACCTCCTAGATAGCTCTTTGTTTTGGAAAGTTAGAATCGAACGCGCGTGTAGGAAAGCTTGCGTACCTGTACACCATACCAAATCACAGCCATTGCTGCTCGGTTGATGATCGGCCAAAACGAACCCCAAATCCCGAATGAAGCTCGATTGGCCACCGCGAAAGGAATGCGATAGATGGTAGCAATGCGACCCAACATGTAAACGAAGATGGCTGCCACAGTGTAACCAACCCAAACGCATAGCCAAGACTGCCACCAAGAAAGTCCATCGACTATCATTGAGGATGAGATCATCCATGTGTTCTGCGAAACAGGGTCAGATACGCTTACGCATGCTCAAAGACCCAGGACTGAGCGGGAGGAACCGTCTCTTGTAGCCCTGAGTGTACAATATCAATGTAAACTCACCACATTTAAGGAATCCGCAATCCAAAACGCAACAAAATTGAGCCATCCCCATTGACGGCGTTCCGGCTCAACTAAAAGCGAACGATCGACGCATCAGCTGTGTACATATAATGGTCAATAAACCACATTGGCCTTTCTTCACGAGGAGAAAGATGATGATTTCAGACCCCTATAATTGATATGGGAAGTCTCAGGAAGACCCTGGTCATAGTCTCACCTGGTCGAAGATCATCGTTTGTCAACATCAGCTGTGCCGTTGACAATCCAGGCTCCGTAGGCACCTGGAGCTTGTTGAGCCAGAACTTCAACTTGCCGCCTAGGGTCATGTTGAGGACAAAATGCGTTCTATTATGAAGTCAAGCTGTTTAAGCGCATCAGACGTGGTATTATATAAAAGTGAAGTGAAACCAAGTTTATAGCTTAGACGCAGCTGAAATATAGGCTGGTCACAGAAAATAAAGTAGAGGATGCTGGCCTAATGTATTGATTGCAGTTAAGGCGACCAAATGCATCTACGGCGAAAGCCGCAATACATATTAGGTAGATCCCGACGTATATCATCTTTACCGACGGGGAACCAGCCCATTCTATGGGAACTCTAACCCTCAGCTTTGCCGACGGGCATGTAGACCCATGCCTTCTGAACTCTAACCCCGCATTTGATGAATTTCGTGGTTTGTTACTAGCACATATACCTAGGTACCCCAGTAAATGCCCGTTTACGATGGATGATAGCTGCCCATCTACCCCAACGTGTGACGAAGAGTGTCATTTTAGGTAACAAGGTTTCCCCGCGCTGAGCTCGCTTTCTTCACGTCAGACGTTTTGTATCATCCTCACCATGTGTTTACCAAGGCAATTACATATAGACACGGGTCCTGGGGGTATAGCACACTAGGCGAACAAGTGCAAGGAAAACCAGTACTCCGTCATTCACGCAGCTAAAACCAACATCGATCGGTCTATTTTGAGCATAAGGGCCCCTTCCTTCGCCCCTCATGATATGTTAGAAGTCATTTTAGATTAAGCTTTCGGCGTCTGAATGTGGCTCTCCCTTTTCCGAACACCTTGTCGTAGGAAAAAGCATTGGGAAAAGAGAAAAAGAAAGAGAAGCTTTTATGGAGCATTTATGTCTGTAGAACCTTACCGCCCTAAGTATACTGAAAGTGGTCCGTAATCATCTGGGATTCCTAAAGGACACACATACACCAAGTCTTTCCGATTGTTTGCCGGAAGCTGATGTATGCGAAGGGGCAGAGCGGCCAAAGGTCAAATGCCTGATTTTTCACTAACGTATTTCACTACCGAGCTGCGCAGTCCGACACAAATAGTAAATGCGATAAATTACAGTTGGATATCTCAACAATAATTGTCTATATGAACTTTTCCTTGTAGTGTAATGCTTTTTATATAATACCTTGCCACTTGGGGGAGTTTTAGGAAATTTGAAGAAAGTAATAACTGAGATATATATCTCTATAGAGTTCAGGGATGTAATTTTCGATACCATGACAATGCCAGTTTTCAATCTATCTGAAATTGATATATACTACTAAAAAAGCTTATCAATCGCTATCGGCAAATTAAAAAACAATAAAAAGACGTTGGGTGTTAAGATATAAGTGTAGCATGTATCGGATTTACTATGGTGTTTCAGCTGCGCAGCTCGGTGGTGTGCGCAGCTCAGTAGTGAAATACGTTAGTGAAAAATCAGGCAGTTGACCTTTGGCCGCTCTGCTCCTTCGCAGATGTACGTCTTTGAACTCTAACCCCGCAGTTATCGATTTAGGTTCCCTCTCTGATCTAGACCTCGCTGGCAGCTGTTAACATTAGACCTCCAATGGCTTTCGCCTCAAACCTCGCTACCACTTTCCTAAGACATGTTAACTTCCTTACTGAAGGTTTGAGCTGGCTTTGTTGGGCGTCCTTAGTCCTTTCCTACATCTTACCCTTGGCCGTCATACCATAAGATCGGGCCGAATGTTGAAATGGTGGCACCCCAGAACGTTGGATTCGGACTTGTTTGATTGCTATTAGGACAGTTCTAAGGTTATAACTATTGCTCTACTTCTACGCGTAATTGGCACCCAAGGAACAAATTGATTAGATGATACTAATGGTCGGAATTATGTTGATCAACTTCAAAAATGCGAAAGCAAACAAAGCTATAATATCGGTTATTAATAGCGTAAGGCGGGCATCAGGAAAAGCGGCTATCTGTATACGAGCCTACATGGGCTAAAAAAATGTGGTAATTGTGCTTTAAGCTTGCCCTCTTGTCTAAATTTCAACCGCTGCCTCTACACTCTTCCTCTCGTTATCATGTGACATTCCATAGAATTAGACTGAGGAATCAAGAAAGACATTTTGAGAGATGGAATATATTGGTGCTCGGGTTTGTGTTCTGTATCCGAGGAGGCTATACATTAGACAACAATATGTGGAAGTGTTATTGCGCTCTTCCATCTGTCTCCCACACCCGCCCTATCCCATCTTTCATCTTAAACACTTCGTTCGCGCAGGTCACTTCTTCTGAGGCCAGAAGAGCAGCGGAATGGAAGGCCGAGGCCCCAGTGATTCTCTGGAGCAAGCCTATGTTTGATGCCCTCACACCACCTCCGACAATAATTTCTGGGACTCTCTTGCCTCGAATTTTCCCTTCCCCTTGAAGCCGCGTCTTATAACCTACCAGAGTTTGCAGCTTATCAACACATTCCGTTGCTTTTGTTCCCGAAGGACCACCATTGGTTAAAATCGATGCGAACCCACACTCCATGATATCGGCCAATGCGTTCTCCCAGTGGGACTCGGGAATGAGATCAAAAGCGCGATGAAATGTGCAGGGCCTCCCGCCGGCTAGTTGGACAAGCTGCTTGTTACGGGATATATCGACCCACGACACATTCGGATCGCAAGGCTTTTGTGGGGAACCATTCAAAATCCCGAAGACGAAACCGTCAGCCCCGTAGGACTTGAGAGAATTGAGCGTCCGTTTCATCGACTCGAAGTCGGATTCTTCGTAACAGAAGCCTTTCGCGTGTGGTCGAATCATCGTATAGATCGGTATTGTGAGCTGTGATTTCAATTCTTCGAGAATCTTTATGTCGGCTGATAGCCCACCGAGATGGTAGTCCTTGCATAACCTTGAGGACAATTAGTGATAGAACGGATGAATTCCTGGCAACTAAAAAAAGCGAATTCAAATGCATAGGCTGGCTACAAATGCGTGTTGCCACGGGGGAGCCCCGACTTGGATACAATACTCACTCGATGCGGTCCGCTCCTGCTCCCGCAGCAACCACGGCAGATTCTTGATTGAAACACGCAATCTCTAAGATTGGTCTTTGAATAATAGCGGTTTGGCTCATGACTTGTATTGGCTGGTCTGCATTTAGCTTATATGGAGTGCGGGAATAAGTGTGAGAAGACGGGGCTTTTTTAGGTGCGACTGCGACTGTCCCAGGTCACCTGATTGAAGATTTTAACAACGGAGCTTAAATACCTATTGTGTACGTGGTGGCCGAGTATTTATTAATATACGTTTTATCTGATCTCTTCGACATATTACTACATAGTCTTGGATAAACATAGTAATGTAACTCCAGATGACTTATCACGAGAGCGGGGAAAGCGACGCGACGCAATTGTGTGAGATTGGAACGAAAGCCTGCAAGATGACTTCATCTTCTTTTTCACTTCTTTCGCTTCTCTCGCTTCTTACACTCCTTACACTCCTTACACTTTTTATACCTTTACACTTCTTCCCCCTCGCGAATAATGTCACGACGACCAGTTATCGCAGTGGCTGGACTTGCTTGTGAGACCTCTAGCTTTTCCCCCGCTCGAACACTCGGTCCGGCGTTCCACCCGCGCCGTGGTCCGGAGGTGATCGAAAAGTACACTTTCCTACATAATGGCACTCATCTAGCAGATGTCGCAGATTGGAAGGGGGCACTTATAGGTCATGCCCTTCCAGGCGGAATCGTGGTACGAGCTGATTTCGAACAACTCTCGAAGGAAATCCTGGATCAGTTGGCTGCAATCATCGCTTCAAACCCCATCGACGGATTATGGTACGATATCCATGGCGCAATGTGTGTTGAGGGTATGGAAGATGTTGAAGCAGAGCTTCTTCGGCGGATTCGAACTGTTATTGGCCCAGATGTTTTGGTCTCGGCGTCCATGGATTTGCATGGGAATGTGTCAAGAGAGCTGGCCCACCAGACTGATCTGATCACTTGTTATCGTACGGCACCTCATGAGGATGCCCTGGAAACGAAAGAACGGGCCTGCCGTAATCTGATCCATGTTTTGACATCGCGGACCGACACCGGGAGAGGGAACCGACCCCTGAAGGCATGGGTCCCAATCCCTATCCTACTGCCGGGAGAGCAGACTTCGACCCGCAACGAACCAGCGAAAAGCCTGTATTCGCTCGTTCCCGAAATTGAAGCAATGGATAATGTCCTTGATGCAGCCATATGGGTGGGGTATGCATGGGCAGATGAGCCACGAAATCATGCTGTAGTAATGGTCACTGGATGGAATAAGGGTGCTATTGCTAGAGGAGCGAAGCGCCTTGCGTCCTTGTTCTGGCGTGTTCATAAGGACTTCCATTTCGTCGCGCCGACTGGCTCTTTCTCAGAATGCATTGACAACGCACTGGCATCGTCGAACAGGCCCTTCTTCATTTCTGATTCGGGAGATAACCCTACCGCTGGTGGATCAGGCGACGTGACCTTTGGCTTAAATGAATTGCTAAAGCGAGCGGAGTTCACGAAAGAGACCAGTCCATCCGTGATTTATGCCAGTATTCCAGGACCCCAGGCAATTGATGTTATAACCACGGCTGGTGTGGGCACTACGGTGACGGTCACCGCCGGAGCACAAGTGGATAATCTCCATGCTGGGCCCATCACTATGACTGGGCGCATTCATTCCATTAGGTATGGAGATCGCGATGCCGAAATTGAAGCAGTTCTACAGGTTGGAAGTGTGTTTACCATCTTAACCAAATTCCGAAAGCCATATCACCATGAGAGTGATTTTATCGGTCTGGACCTTAGTCCCCGAGCTACAGACATCGTCATAGTCAAGATTGGCTATCTCGAGCCAGAGCTGTTTAGTATGGCAGGGGACTGGATGCTTGGTTTGACTCCTGGCGGTGTTGACCAAGATATACAGCGTCTTGGGCATCATCACATCCTCCGTCCAATGTGGCCCTTTGACAAAACGTTCCCTAGGGCCCCGGATCTCACCCCACAGCTGATTCCATTCTCAAACGAGGACTTGGGAATGCCTCAGGAATGAACTCTTGAATATTACGATATCTGGTTGTTCGGGCTCCACTATATTTCGGATCTAATCTCATCATGTAGACTAACTAATTCAATTACTCCATCATCGATGACACTATGCCACTAAGCACTAGCCAGAAACGCCACATACTCGTGACTCATTCTGTTCCTAACTCGTATTTATTGATCTTCGCCCCGCAAAGGAAGCACTTGCCATTTGAAAAAGAAAACAATCTTCTATCCTTCCTTCGAAAATCTCCCTTGTCTCGTAATGTCATCCCGGTTGTCGCTCTTGTTTGCTTTACTGACATTGTAGTTGAATGTCTTCTAGTTTCGCTATGGATTCCGGACCAGCAAAAACCTGCTTTGCCACCTCATCGCCATACGAAGAAAAGATTGGTTACTACCGGGCCGTCCGCCATGGAAATCATATCTTCGTTTCCGGGACGACATCGGTTGATCCCTATTCTCCCACTAATGCACCGCGAATGCTTCACCCAGAAGATGCCAGACAGCAGACACGCGTCGCTCTGGAGGAGAGTATTCGAGCTATCCAAGGTCTTGGTGGTAAAGGCGCGGAGGATATAGTTCGCGTTAAGATGTTTGTCAGTCGCCATGAGGACTGTGAGGCTGTGGGGCGAGGGTTTAGTGAGATATTGGGCAAGCATAATTGTGGCGGAAGTGGAATGATAGGAGCTGCTGCAACAATGATTGTCGTCAATGGCGGCTTTATAAATAAGAGGATGCTTGTTGAGATTGAAGTAGATGCTGTTGTGGAACAGATCTGAAACTCTCCCGAACGCTGTCGTCAGAACAGGTCTATAGAGATGTCGAAATGCACGGTTTCCTAGGAGATGATATATGTATTTAATTTCGCGCCCAGTGAATTAGTAGTACGAGAAGCTGACTATGTGTACGAAGATGCATAGCGCTCAGCACCTAACTATTTGGTACCCGAATGCCTGAATTTCGCCTGGCAGGCAAATAATAATAGTTAGCAGACTAAGCAGTTTGTCCCTTCGGATGGTCACAAAAAGTTGCTCAGGGGATTTGGTTTCGAAAATGGCTCGACTTATAATGGCTGCAAAGTACACGGGCCGGATATAACTGATCCTAACCGTTGCAGCCTGAAGGGAGTATCCCCCTCGTGCACGCCATTTCGAGTGCCAGTGAAGAAGACATATCTCTAGTTGAGCTCATGGGGCCAAGCTGGAATCACATCTACACTTTAGCGCAACAGCTCTGCATGTGAGGTAAGGGAAATTCATGACCAAGCTTCTTCTAGCCAAGGGCCTTGATGCTAACATGACGTCTGAAAAACGGGGCATTATGTACATTGCACTACCGATTCCTCCAAGCTCAATATTATCAAACTGTTGCTAGATGCGGGCGCAGACCCCACAACTCGGCCAGTGGGTACACCATACCATAACGAATCCCCCTTGCAAATGGCCGAGAGGTCAAAACGACCCGATAGGCAGGCTATACTGGGTCTCCTTCGGTCTTAGTAGGCTTACAGTTGATTATACATCAATGGGCATATGGATGGTGCAAACAATTGATAACAATCCGATGACGCTTTGCATGCTTTGACTTTCCCGAACGTGTCTATCGAAGAATTATTTTACTTCCCTCTGCACAACCCGTTCCATAATTCGGAAGTAACATAGACTACGATTGGATTCATGCCTCACTAGGGTATCTACGGTCCTGGACCATGCATATGAGACCGCAGAACACGGATGTGAGAAGGGACTAGAACACGGGCGAGACAAGGGACTCGAAAAATGCCCCACTATCAAAATGACCCACTCTACATATGAACGCTGTTTTTATCGTAAAGGTTGTAGCCTGGGCATATGTTGTTGTAGTTGGAAGGGTGCGACCAGGCATTACCTCTTACACAAAACCGGTGCGGGTCAGTACCGCTAGTAATTTAAGTTGCACAGAGCGTTGACGTCCGGCCCCAAATTTTCAGAAGAGGATTGATAGTTAGTTACAGCCAAACCCCCCCTGCCTGAAAATTTAGTCCACCTTCCTATTCGGGTAACCGCTCCTACCTCGACACCTGCATCTGCCTACCGACGTCCTCGCCGCCTTCCAGCTTTTACACCGCTTTGTCTCAAACTCCCCAATACAATATAGGACGACAGCGGATACCTGCAATTTGTATACAAACCCCTAGCAAAAACAAGTCACTTCTGTCAGCACCATACCTAGCACCAAGCCAGGCACCGAGCCCCGAGACGTGGACGCGAACGAAAACGCACGGATAGAGGCCAAGGAAGTAGGCTGACTTAGGAATCAGGTAGAATATACGACTTTTTCTGATCAAAATAGTTACATGTCTTTTTACTATGTAAACTTGAATTCGTATAGTAGTGGCAGAATATATGGCAGAATTCACGGTCGCACCCAGTTAGGAAGGCGGTGATTGAATTATCAGCCCGGGGATGGCTGTATCAATCCTCTTTAAGAAAATGCAAAAATATGCGTATTGAAAAATGGAGCAGATCGTGGTTAAAGCATTCGGAACAACTAAGTTACATTCCCGTGCATCGGAGCCCGCGGAGCCCGCGGAAACTTGGAAGCCTTGCAGTTGAGTCAGCTCGTTGATTATTTTTCTCTCAATTGAAAAGTTGGAATGCTCATGTGAATATGCAGAGTACCAAGATACCAACCAGTGGGGCAGTCATCGGCCAACATTGAACAATATGCTCCGTACGGAGCAGTGCTCAAGACCCATTAGTTTCTGTTAAGAATTTTGTCATATACGTTGAGTGAGGTAAATTTTACATGAAAAATCCAACAAATTCCCTCTTTCAGACGCAATGCGTGCTTTGAGACTCACGCATTGCGTCTCACCTCGTACCCGCGACTATTCTAATACATGTCGGAAATAATCCCTGCTTAGCCGTCTAAAGTACTAGAAAACTCTCAGCCCCCAACCAACACTCACGCCTCTGGATAAGATAAAAAAGACACATGCACAAGAATAGACAAGCCCACAAAAGATGATCAGACTAGCGTAGTCATCGTGGCCCATCGTGGATGTCTGAACTTTCAAAAGCTCGCCAGCAATTGGAATGGCCACAAGTGCGCCTATACTGACAAAGAAATACGTCATGCCATAACGCTTTCCGAAATCTTGTGTTTTAGAGATTTGTGCAACACAAACAGGAGATAGACTGATTGCAGTGCCGCCCCAAAATCCAAAAAGCACGGTGAATGCCAAAATGGCCGCCTGGTCCGACTGGGCCGGAAGCCATAGGGCGAAGGTCAACACTGAACAGATGAGCGTTGTGACGATCATCACATTGAATCGTCCAAATCGGTCTGCAAAATATCCAGCGACAACCCGCCCAATGATAGACGCAGCATTTAATATAGACGAAAGGTTGTATGCGAGAGAATCTCCCAAGCCGCTAGATTGAGCATAGGACGGCAAATAAGTCAACGGAATCAGGAGGGCGAAATCGATCAAAACTATTGCCGCCGTCAACAAAGAGAAGCGTAGTTCTTTCAAAGCTTTCATGTCGACTATTCCCTTTTGTGCTGAAGTTAAGGGTAGTCTGGTCCTCAAAAGCACGACGCTTAGAAAGCAAAATGCCGCACTTAGGAATCCAATGATTCGTATAGCCCAAGGGAACCCTAGGTTATCCGGGAGAACAGAGATCAAGACAGGAAATAAAATCCCCCCAATACCCCCAGCGGTCGCCGCTATACCGGTAGCTAGGGCGCGACGCCTGAGAAACCAATGGGCTATGCAAGCAACGCTAGGGGTGAACACCATCGATGAGGAGATACCGCCAAGGATACTGAATCCTAGCATGAATTGGTAGTATTCTATGCGAGTGCTTATGTGAGCTTTGGCGGAGTCTGCCGATATATTAGAGAGGCTCGTACCTCCTGCAACACTGAAGATCATGAGTGATGCCACGAGCCCAACACATCCAGGGATCAGCAAAGGTGCAAGACCATGCGCATCAAACAGAGGTCCTTTCAGATATCAGCCGCCATATATATCTCAGACAATTGTCTGAATTAGCTTCTTACCAACTTGCACGCTTCCAAAATAAAGGAAAAACGTGTATAGGCTGAATATCCAACCGATGGAAGCTCTTGAATAGTGTCTCAATTGATGGTCTGCCAACCAAGCCTCGAACACGCCAATTGTATTCATGAGTCCAAATGAGGGCACCATGGCACACCAAGAGCCGAGAACGACGCTCCAGGCGCGCCAACCACCGTCTGGAAAGCCCAGGTCACTGTCTTGCTCCATTTCATTCAAAGAGTCACTCGAACATCCACCCTCGGTGTTTGCGAGTTGGGATAAACAGAAAACTAAATTGTTGCAAATGATTAGCTTTATACTGACCTTATGCACAGAAAGAGGAGAGAAACAGCAAAAGCAGCTCTACCCCGGGCCTGCTTGTTGCGATCTTCATACTGATTTAGAAGCTAAGCCATTATAGGACGCCGGCGAGATTAGTGGCCTATCTATCCTACTAGGCGGTGCCGACTCAGCCGAAGTCGGAATGGCAATACGTTACTGACGGGTACATACATATAATATGTATTTGCATTGCGGGAGCGCTAGTCGAGATAAAATAACTCCATTTAACGATGTCACGGTCAGCAGGCTGCTGAAAATGGCCAGCTTAGAGGTGGTATTTTGCCAATAAGAATTACCTGATTCAGCACTCCTCCATATGGTTTTGTAGGGGAAGTTCGGGTTACCGGCGTCGTAACGCGCCAGTACTAGCTCCTAAGGCTATGAGATGCCCTCAACAGCGATCTCCTAGTTAGTTCCTCAATCCACTCGTTCAATTGATTCCCTCAGTACTAGTATATACGAAAATCTTGCGACCCATTACAAGAGCTACTAAAGCCGGACAACATGAGAAGGTAGAAATTCATCGTCCTAATATGGAAGGTTGTATCATAGCTCCTTCATAATATCCTGGCCGCAGCAAATGGTTACTATTCACGAGATATGTCAGTGCAGCAGTGCAGCGAGAAGGACCAAAATGTGAAGGATAGGACAGCTAGGAGGGTGAGATGAATACTTGTGGGTCTTTACAAATGCTCCAACGTTGGCCCATTCAACACATCCATGTGGGCATTAAGCGGACTGAGAAGTTACGACGTATGGCAGTAGGGAGACTCCGAAGGTGATACATTCATGCGAGCAGTGCCATCATGCAGTTCATGGCAGATCCTAGGGTGCTCTTTGACCTCCTTTTTGCTAGAACCTTCTAGGTTTCGTGCCTTTGTTTCCCTCTGTCCCATAAAGATATATTGTTAAAAAGTCGCGTGACTCTGTATGTGACAGGGCACGTGACCCACGACCCTGGACTTCTAGATTAGATTCAGATCTTATTTTCTCCTCTCCCTTTTCCTCTCAGAGTCCAGTCCGCATCAATACATTTTCATATGGCTGCATCCTCCTTGCCTCCGTAGCTGACATATATAGACGCAATTTCATGGCAGTAGTTAGAGGTTATCATCAGCATCATATTCATTCTTACTGTTGGTCGTCCCTTCTCTCCAGTAGATCTCTGGGACCGCGTCCATCAGAAGGGCATCATTAAGGAGAGGAAATTTGCCGTATCATCCAGTTGATGGTGCAGGTGATACAGCGACACGTTGATTTCGTAAGCCGTCCTACCATCCATGGATCTCTAAGCCGATCTATCTACCTCGCATATACGGATTTCTCGCATTTCTGGTTGGGAGAGTCAGCTGCAGAGAAGCTAAGTGCCGTCTCCCAGTCGAACTAGACAATCCGACAATTGGAAACACCACCGCCCAAGAAGATGGCTCATTTGATAGGTAGTATGCAATCGGGACAAATCGGACTCTTCGTCGAGGTCCAAGACGTACTCCGGCTTGATCCGTATGGATCTGAATGACATCTTTCCTCCACTGGCCCGACTATGCGGCACAATATAAGCCAGCAAAACCCACCAAGCAGAATGCGGTGGACCAAAAGCCCCCCTCCCAACCGACGCATCATGTGCACCCTCTTTCGAGCACGCGAGCCCGAGCCTTAATACCTTTTACGCATGCTTATCGATATCAAGCTGCAAGCTTACAGAAGACGTCAAAGTCTGGAAAGGTCATGGAGCCTCGCACTCGTGTGGACGCACGGCACAGTATCCGAGTCCAGTCGGTTGCTTCCTTTGATGATGCCGTCTCTTTGTCTCTAGAGTCGCCAATCATATTGTATTCGGATGTAGTGTGCAATTTGGAGAGCACCTCGTGCTGGACGAGCGACTGATTGGAGTACAAGGGCGGTAGAAATGGGAACAAGCGGAGACGCAACGCCATTGAGGCACAAAGACACGACACCACTGCAACATACACACGCCCTAAGACGAAGTGACTTGTGGCCAACAAGCGGTGAGAGACAAAGTTGATGCGTCAGATATGACCAGATCAATCTCCAATCATGCATAATCTGCCCAAGGCGCCTCTTGCAGCGTAAACCTTACAGGCGACCCATGCCGATTTCAATCATGGCCAATGGGAGACAAGCGAGCTTGATTCCATACATGAAAATGAACCAGCCCAAGTCATGTATAAAATCCAACTTTCCGTTATTGATTTGAACGACGCAGAGTTTGGAAAATGCTGCCAGAATTTGAGATGGCTGAAGAACACATGCGACCAACAGCCTTTCTGCCACGCCCGCTCAAGATTGTGGTTATAGGAGCAGGGTAGGCTTAAATGGCTCAAACGTTAAAGCGGGGACTAATTCATGTTAGATTTTCGGGCATTCAGATATCTCACGAAATTTCCACGGCCCTACCCGAGATTGATCTCAAAGTATTTGAGAAAAACCCGGGGTTGGGAGGAACGTGGTTTGAGAATAGATATCCCGGGTAATATGAATATTTTGGTGGGAATGATTTCTGGCCATTAACAGACATTTAGCTGCACATGCGACGTTCCCTCGCATACTTACCAATTCAGCTGGGCGCCCAATCCCAGGTGGACTCAGCTCTATCCAGGAGCGTCTGAGATTCGCCACTACCTTGAAAATACAGTTAAGGATCACAACTTGGCAAAATTTTTCAACTTTAATTGGCGATGCGTATCCGCAAAATGGGATGAGTCTGAGTCCAAGTGGACAGCTAGGTTTGAACACACACAGCGGAATACGAACCTAGTTGTGGATTCCGACGTCTTGATATACGCCGTTGGCCGACTGAACAACTACAAAATACCAGCCATAGATGGCCAGAGTCTTTTCAAAGGGCGCATCGTACACACCGCTGCGTGGCCAGACGATCTTGACGTCAGCTGCAAGCGCATTGTGATCGTTGGAAATGGAGCCAGTGCGGTGCAATGTGTGCCAGCGCTACAACCAGGTCAGGAATCGGCCCTTTCCCTATTTAAGGCTCACCACAGTTAAACAAGCTAGCATAGTGGTTTCTCAGCTGTACAATATTGCCAGGGGACCTACATGGATAGCACCTCATGTGTTCTCGGAGGACGGGTCAGTGCAGAAAGACTGTCAGTAATAGCCCAGCCGCAGCAATGTGAAACCCTCTGATAAAGTCCAGACACCCCCGAGGAGATCAGTTCCTTCGAGCTTGATGTACAATCTTACGACCTTCATCGAGTGTATCTTGAGAAAAGAGTGGCGGTAGGACTTTCCGGCCTCTGGAGGGGTACCTTGGCTCAAGAAAGTTTTCAGAATTTATGCAGATGTTTTATGCAGTCGAACATCCAAGATCCGATATTGCTCGAAGCTTTGTTGCCAAATTTTGAAGCAGGCTGTCGCCGCTTCACGCCAGGCAGGCATTACTTGAATGCACTTCAACAGCCGAATGTGGAATATTTGCAGGACTCAGTCGTGGAATTGACAGAGGAGACTCTCATCACAGGATCCGGAAGAAGGTTTGACTGTGACGTGATCATCTATGCCACCGGATTCGAGCCCTATAAGCCGCGGTTTCCAGTATTGGGTCGAGATGGTGTTGACCTCATGGGTAATTGGAATCGCGAGGGCCCATGTGAGAGCTATATGGCCGCGATGGTGGCTCAATTTCCGAACTTCTTCGGTAAGCATGCTTTCGAGCTTTGATTGGCTGCCGGTTTTCTGACAGGTCCAAGTGTTCTGCCCTCCCATCTGCCCTGTCAATGGACCAGCTATTCCAGGTATTGAAAGGACCTCGAACTATATGACACGAGTGATACATCGCCTACAGACTGATAGCTTAAAGTCCGTCTCCGTGAAAGCAACAGCACAGAGGGAATTTAATGAATGGGCCCAATCGCGTATGCCCGAAATGGTATGGTCCGGACAGTGCAGCTCCTGGTGTGAGTGTCATACCATCGAAAGCCTGATGATCCCGATATTTCTAACTTCTAGAAGACAAGAATGAGAATGGCAAAGTCACGGTTCCCTGGCCAGGGACTATGTTGCATTATTACCGAGCCACGCAGACCATTCGGTGGGAGGATTTTGAGCTCCGCCATTTCTCCCCATCTCTACGGTATGACAGTTTTGGGAATGGGCTCACGGTGGAAGGCTTCGTGCCAGAGGAGTTTCCATGGGTTAAGCTTTCCGACAGGGAGGAATCATTGAACAAAGCGAACCGGAAAATCAGCTCAGTTGTGCAGCACTTGAAAGCTGCTTGGCCGTGTTGGTCGATCTGGACTCTATGCGCGATACTCAAATATGTCTCCTAGTGGTTAAAAAGTCAACGTGGCGGTGTGATGAGCTGCAGACAGACGGAGCTTAAGAGAATTATAAAGCAATATTTTTGGGTGGAAAATAAGAACTTGCGGTGAGTAGACGGATAGATGCTTGGTATTCGCCCCGCGTGCTTTTGTCTTTTCTATAAGTTCTGGTTTGGTCATCGCGTAGGCCTCCCTCCTAACACTGTACTTCCGCTTCTCCATTGGAGAGCACTTGGTTCTACCATATTCTCAAAATTGGAATAGTGTTCCCTCTTTGTGGCTTCATTGACGTAAGTGTGAGATACATTGGGCTGAACTCGCCCTGAAACATTGTCGTTATATCGTCTTTTCTGACGTCCTACATTTTCTTCCCCTTCGGTCGCCATGAAAGAGTTAAGCCAAGCTTGCGGTGAAGATTTGTTATGCGAGCCTCAATCAATCATTATGAAGATCAGGAAGCTTGTTGGACAACACCCTAATGAGCTGGCTATTGCTTGTCCTCATCAACCAGCTGATCTATATGGCTGCAAGAGCTTGCCAATGGAGGCCTCGGTTGATCAGTCAGCTCCTCCCCACCTTCGATGGTCTTATCAAACCCTTGACCAAACTGTGAATAAGATCAAACAACGTTTCATGGCGTACGGCTCTGTCAAGACTACTCTGCTTTTTGTTTTCTGCGAAAATCAAGTGGAATCTGTCATCTTCACATTGGTGGCATATTCTCTAGGATGGATTCATGTGCCCATCGGGCCAGAATACCTGTGCAATCTAGAAGAAGTTCAACGAATGATTACAAGCGTTATGGCGAGCCTCGAGGCTTCGAACGCAGTTTTCCTTGCGAACAACGAAGACACGGCCCAAAAGCTCGATCAATTAGACGTCAGTGGTGAAGACCTGAAGGTGTGCTGTGGTCGATGCTCTTATCCATGGATAACCTTTGACTCTTTAATGGAGTATTCCGACCCACCTCCCGAACTACAGCGAGTTGGAGTCGCCTCGAACGAATTATCCGTGTTCTTCACGAGTGGTACAACCTCTCTACCGAAGGCTTGTTTGATCGAGCCTATGCTATGGTTCCACGGGCTGGAATTATCCCTGACTCTTGGGTCCTTGGAGTTGGGGAATTTGGTCGGCGTTGCACCTCCAATCAATCATGCCTTTGGCTTTATTTGCACCATGATGCCGCTTCTCCGGGGTGCATCTATTGTCTTGGTCGGCCCTAGGTTCTCTCCCCAGGGAATGATTAGAGCACTTATTCATGAAAAATGCACTCATGCAGCTTTGGTTGCTACTATGCTTTTTGGTCTTGAACAAATGATTGAAGATGAAAGTTTCGAAACGCCCTATCTCAAAAGTCTGATTTTCGCTGGCATGACAATGAGACCCAGCCTTGTACAAAGGTGTAAGCAAGTGCTTGGTGCATCAACGATTGAAAATTTCTATGGAATGACAGAAGGTGTCTTCGTCTCCACCGGCCCCTTGGAAGATCTAAGTACTACTGTCTTAGAAGACGTAGTGACCACGGGGCGACCAATCTCTGGCGGTCAAGTTCGAGTCTGTGTGGTAGGTGGTCGCTCGCCCGTGCCCACTGGCATAACGGGTGTGCTGCACTTCTCTGGCCCTTCTCTGATTAACCGTTACCTGAACTGTGAAAGCCCTGATTTTTACGAATCTGATGGCAACTCTTGGTTCGTCACAGGGGACCGGGCAGTCATGGATGACAACAAGCAGCTTTACGTTGTTGGCAGAGAGAAGGACATCATAGTATGTGGAGGTGAAAAGATCGTCCCGTCAAAGATTGAAGATTTCCTGGCTCAGACATCACAATTTCAGGCTCTTGAGCCACATGTGGTAGCTGGTGAGGATATTGTCGCCGGAGAAGTTCCTATTGTTGTAATCAGGTTTGCCGCTGGGCATGATGTCGAAAATCAGATGCGAGATACCATACGGGAGAATCTTGGGGCTCGGTACGTCCCCAGAGCGTTCATCACCCTGAAGTCTCTCGGCCTTCGTCAAATGCCGCGCACCCCTGCTGGAAAAATACAGAAGGAAGAATTAAAGCGACATGTTACCGAGTTCAGGCGGTCTCAATCTTTCGATAGCATCTCAGTGCTGAACCCCTTCCAGAGACTTACCCAAAGTGTTTTGACTGTTTGGTCACGGCTACTTGGCATCCAGGCTTCACACCTGGATATTAAAGCCCCTATCTCTCAATTGGCTGACAGCGTCCTCATGCTTAGCGCCCGAGCCAGAATTAGAAGTGAAACTGGTCGAAGTGTTCCCCTTTCACAGTGGCTTACCATAAGGACCATTGAGGATCAAATGAAGACGCTTGATGCCCTTGAAGGGGAACAAAGATTGAACGATCTGGAGGGCACTTTCAAGGGCCTTAATCCGAGGTCACTCGGGGTGAATGACATTGTCCACCTCGGAGAAGACGAAAATGCGTTCAATATGACAAAGGAAGTGATTGAGAAGAATATTACGGCACAAGGTCTATCTTGGGAAGATGTACAAAATGTTTTCCCTTGCACAGACTTCATTCAAATACTGTGCCGGTCCAAAGTCATCAACACTTGGAATATCCGAACGGCAATCCTTTCTAAAAAAGCGAGTGCGGAGGTAAAGTGCTCACTGTTGATTTCGATCTTATTGGCTATTGCTTACAAGGAGTGCAGGATATGAAACGGGCATTGCAGGTCACTTTGCGCAATCATCCCTTGATGTTATCGTACATTATTGTGGACGACAAAGCATTGGGTAGAGAGCTTGGCCTTCATGTCGTCATGCAACACAGCAAAAAGATCCTTGACCAGTGCATTCTGAGCTACGGCACGGTCGAAAACATGCAAGACTTGAGGAACATCACGATGAATTATCCGTTTGAAGACCACGGAATGCTTCCTGGACCACTTTTCCGCTGCCTTGTTATTTTTGTCCGGGAGATGAATTCTGCCGCGGTGATCACAAACGGTAACCTTCACTTGAAAAATCTTGCCTATTCAGACTACTGAATCCGATATAGTATGCCATGCGGTACTAGATGTCACGTACCATTCACTCTTTCACGATGATCTTGATCGTGCTTTAGACGGCAAGCAGCTTCGACCTCACCCAGCTTTCAAGGCTTGGGCAGAAACTTATCACATACTAAGGAAGTCTCCCATGGCAAATTCAATGGTCAAGTTCCATTCACAATACTTGAAATCCATCAAAGATCACGAGAACGTATTATGGCCCCATCCGACATCTCGGCTTACGGTATCTCCCGAGCGTGCTGCGCAGGATGGCCATATTTTGGTCTTTGTTGCACCTTCGTTTCTTCGCCTACAGCAAAGGTATCCCAAGCTGACAATACCTATCGTTCTCAAAGCGGCGCTTGCACTGATGATATTTTCCCATACAAATCACACGCATGCGCTGTTCCTGAATCTTGAAGCGCAAAGGTCTAGATTCCCATTTCTCCATGAAAACTATCCATTTGGAAACCCTTCGGAAGCTGCAGATGTGGCAGGCCCGACTTTCAGCGGAGTCTTGAACCTGGTAACCTTCAATTCTGCGGAGACGGTTTTCGAATACCTAACGCGAATTCAGCGAGATCAAGACGATCTCTCGAAACATGCTAGTGTTCCCTGGCATGAGTTGTCTCAACATACAGGCTATTCGATGGAAGATACACTGCCCAGAGTGGCCGAATCAATGATCTTCAACTGGATGCCCGGTCTTGGCCCTTCTGTTCTCGGTGAAAATCTATACAAGCATATTACTGTGACGCAAACCCACATTCGAACCAAATTGGGAATGCTGGCAAGTGCTGGAGCTGGGGGACCGGACGGCAGTGAGATCGTTATCTTCCTCCAGGGAGCGCTGGCAAACATTTCTTCAATGTGGGTAGAGCGCGCTGCCCAGGAATGGAAGGCCATTGCACTTTGGTTAGCAGAAGAGAGGTCATGGCTAATGCCAGTGGGGAATTTCGTAACAGCAATCTCAGTAGAGCCAGTCAAGGAGTTCGAATAATTTCCCTTTTACAATTTGCTGGATGATCCCATCTCCCATGGGTGTATGGATGCCTGGATTTTCAGACTGAGCCTATCATCTTGTTTGCTCTTCGTGGCCTGTAGTTTACCACCCTTACGAATTCATTTGACCGTCGAATTGGACAGCGTCAGCGATATTCATTCTCGACTAGAGGTGCTTTGAATCGGTTCAATGAGTCATTCAACTAGAGAAAGGGCGCATCTCCTGCTCCCAGTCAAAATCTTCCATCAAAGCCAAGAGATCTATATCGTCTGTGCATGGACCCGCCAACAAATCGCTTTCTTTTTCCCTAGTGGAGTCGCACCCAAGCACACTCGAATCAGTTGTATTAGGCGCAAGGACAATGTCAAGAACTTGCCGAATGAACGCCAACCCTTTCATACATGTATCGTAGTCCCCTTCTCTACTTGGGAAGAAAGTTTCTAGTTGTGCAGCGAAGACACTGAGTCGTTGAATAATTTCTGAACGAGCGAAGGTTGATTCTCTCGGCAATCCGCCCGCAGATTCTTGCGAATGGCGGAGTAGTTCTTTCGATAAGACGCCAGCAGCTGGTAGACCAATGTAGCATAGCTAGGATGACGGGAGTTAGCGGGAATACAGGACCGCGTCCCAGGAGCTCTCAACGGACCACTAACATCAAAGATGGTGAAATGGCTCACATTCCCTGCACGAGTTTGCTTAGAGACTATATCCAGTAGCAGCACCAGGATTTCACGGGATTTATCAATTAGCCGGTTGAATCCGTCTCCTGTGCGTTCCATAAGCATCTGATAGAGGAGAAAATCTTGATACAAAAACTCGAGATGCAGAGAAGCCGCCGAGGGATGTTCGTTTTCGAAAGACCAACGTAGAAAATGTGGTAGGCCGAGACGCATTTGATTCGATTCGTGACGGATCTCCCTACGGAATCGGGGAGAAGTCAGATTATAGACTTTTTGCAAAGTACGGAGTAGAAAACAGACTCGATCTTATGCCTCAAATTGTCCATCTCATGACTGAAAGACAATTCCAGAATCATCTCTCGATAGATATTTGAAAGCATAGAGACACGGGGCTTTGCACCCTCGGAGCCTCCCTGTCTATCCCAGCCATTAGCGTCGAGCCGCTGAACCACAGCATCTCGAGCAGCTGCATCGGCTAAAAGATCATCCCAGTCGATATCTAGAGGCATATGGGAATTGCAATACCGCCGGCAGATCCGAGGTGGTAGACCCAGGAAAGTTGCCAATTCTTTATCCATGGAGTATGCTGCTACCATTGTTCTCTTGCGGATCTCGGACAGAAAGAATGGGGCTCGTCCGTCGACTTCACGCTGGTGAAGACCAAGTGCGAATACTAACGTTGTAACGTCTCCTAATCTCTGCCATATCCTATGGTCTTCAACGCGGTGAGTTACGAGCTTGATTATGAGGATATGAAACACTTACCAGTAGAGCCGTGCATCTCCAGCATAAAAGAAATATGCTGCATCGTTGCCCAACAAAGGGGATCACTCATCGCACTTGCGCTACTGCAGAATTGCAGACACATATCACTGACCGCTATTGTAATCGTTCGCAGTTCTCGTTTGTCTCTTCCTGGAAGTTCGTCCCATCTGAAGACGGCGTCTTCGGAGTGAATGTGGTAGGTTGCCGTGCCCACCAAGGCAAATATGAGTCCAATGGTATCCCATCTTGGCGCTATAATTGAGATATACTCCTGCAAGTTCATCGCCGCCTGGGTCTAGTTGTAGCCGTATTTCGAAATATGGCTTCTGACCACTCCAGTAGACGGACATGCCTATCCTCAGTGCTTGCACCTTGGATAGCTTCGTGATAAGATATTGTCAACGTTTGCAGGGTTTCTCGTGTTATTTGCGGACCAAATATCCACCCCTTATAGATAGCAAAACGCCTCTCAAGCACTTGTGCAAAAATGTGAAGCCTGTCTAGCAATGACAGGATTTGAGCGCCTATTTCCACCTGCTTCGTATCAAGTGTCTCAGCAGCCGACTCGCAGAAAGAACCGATATGCGCTCCAAGGCTTAGCGTGTTTCCATGAAAATACTCAAAATGGCTTGTCGGACCCAGAAATCTTGGCCGCGAGAATGAGTCGGTGCCTCTTGCCGTAGTTTGAGGTCCAATCCCATGACGAGAAACTGAAGGGGTCAGGAGTACCCAGTCCAGAACCTCATGGGACGATAATGGATTAGCGGAAGGTTTTCCCCTACCCTTTGCCTGTGCACTCGTTGTTCGATTTTTGGTGAGAGGAGCAGGGTGGTAGATACATTGGTCTGCCCGACGACGCGCAGTGCATCGATTACACACCGGAGTAGAGTGGTCGCACCGCAGTTTAGAAATGCGGCATGGCTCGCATGATGACAACATCCCATTTCGCCTGTAAGCTGCCATGATAAGAGAAGCTTTTTACATAGACAATAGTATGAAATAGGTTAGTGGTGGCGGGCAGGAAGAGCGAGCGGTTCATTCACGTGATCTGGCCTACCCCGCCTTTGTGACCCCAAGAGCAAGAGCGCTTTGCAGGGTTTGCATCTCTTGTGAAGCTGTCGAAATACTGTATGGGCCCATAGGCAGATGCACCAATCGAAGCACAACGAGTCTGAATTGTAAATTACGGCTGCCCAGCAGGTTTGCATGCCCCTAACGGACGACTAATCTACAACTCATTTTCTTGGCATTTTCCCGGCACAGTAAATATTCTCAGCACGGGGTAATCAATCAAAGTGCACCAGTATATCCTTCGTGATGCCATCCAGTGCATCAATAGCATCCATATCACTGTGTTGAACGATGACTGCTTCTTGAACGAACAGGGGTTTCCGTCCGTCCCATTGAGCCCTATTCATCAGTACGAGGCTACATCACCTCAGGCCTCTTCAATCAACTCCTTGATATCTGCCATGCGTAGAATCTTGATGAAGCTTTCATGCTTCTGCCGGGGTAGAGGCTTCGTGAGTCCATCTGCTACCATTTCTGCGGTAGAAACCCACTCAACATTTGACCTTCCACTCTGAACCTCCTGCTTGAGCCAACTCCCATGAATATCCACGTGGCGTAGCTTCGTGCCGATCCTTGCGCGTGCGGTGGTGACGAGATCGACAGTGTGTTTGTTATCGCACTTCAGAATAATGCGATGGCTCGGGATGAACTGCAAGCCTCCAAAGAGTCTTCTCCACCACTGCAAAGAGCGTGCAGAGTCGGACGTGCGAGGAGCTCGGCTTCCGTGGTTGATGTTGTTATAGTAGGCTGCTTGACAGCCTTGCAATCCACTGGGCCTCCATACATTTGGCATATATAACCGGCAGAGCTCTTCCTATCCAAGTTGTCGGCAAACGAGGCATCACTAGAGAGCTCAATTGTGTTTAGTCCGCTTCCCAATCCGTACTCCAGGGCTCGGTATCGAGTGCTGTACAGATACACGATGACTCGATCAATCGCTTTGTGATGCCGCGGGCCCGGATTCATAAGGAACTGTGCCAACTTCGCCGTGGCTTTCGCAGCATCAACGCGGGTAATAGTGGTTGCATATTGGGCAGACCCTATCTTCGGTCGGTATGCCTTTATCTGCTGAGACGTTGCCGTGCCTTCGTATTGTGTCAATTCTTCCACTGGGAGAGGCGTTGATACTGGGGCGCACTCCGTGAGGTGGTACTTCGCTGCCATGCTGGCAATATAAGAATCTTGGCATAACCAGAGCTTTTGCCTCTGCCGGTCTCTGATGATTCGAAATACCCGGGAACCAGCGTGTGTCTCCAATTCACGTTCAAGTTTGCGAGCTTCGAGACGTGCAGATGGATGAGATGCAATGAGAATATCGTCAACACAGAAAAACACGATTATGCCCTTCTCAGTAAAGACACAGGGATCTTCCGGTAACGTGGATACCGGCAGGTCCGTCACCGATCAAAACTTCAAATTTCTTTTTCCATTTTTAAACACCATTTAAACGACCAAAACACCATAAATTTCACTAAACTATGCTTTAGGGCATTTATTAAAAGAATGCCCTTTCTGATTACATCAAGAACAGGTAATTTGATGACGTACAGGGGATCATTGGGGACGACACGAATGAGCTTATCCCTCAGAGTGTCATGGATAAATAGCTGATTTGCCGACTCTGAGGTTGAAGGCTTACTTTCTTTCTTCTCAGATAGAAATAGGCGGAAAGAATTTCGATAGCATATAGATCTCTTTGGGTGTGGTTTTTCCCTACCGGGTTTTCCACATCACTAGCGTGAATGCGAAAGAACCATACAAAGATAGCCAGATACCCACGGCAGAGATTCATCGAACATAACATAAAGGCGTGAACTCATAGAACTAGTTAATTTGCTACTATATAGTAACCGGAGTGCGTGCTCTAGCAGCCAGTTTTCTCGAAGTCGGTGAACGAAGAAGAGTCACTTCTGGTTACAGTTGTTTTCGACGTCAGTTTTACCTTCTATAGTACAGTAATGGCTATACTATACTTGTAGACCCGGTGACACGGCTTAATATTGAAGCATAAGGCTGAAGCAGAGCCCCAGGGATAAAGCCCTTAGTTCTGTGACAGATTTAGGAAAGATCATGAAAATACCAAGACACATAACAGAACTATTTACGTGTCTCAACCCCTCGTATTGTATAGTTTATGCCTTCTCAGGGTCCTTAATATCCGGTGAAAAACGCATTATACACATACAACCTGATTGAGAGGCTAAGGCCACTGCTGAATCTGCTACTGCGGACACCATCGGACGATACTTCGGAGGTATCCAAAGCACATTCTGTCCTTCATTCACAATCCATATGCCATCAGCACTTATGCCATAACCAGAGTGGCTACGATCGCGGGGCGCAGCCCTCTCGCTATCGGATATAGCCGTGCCAGAAGAAGAGGGCAGATTAAAAGCTCCAAACTCTGTAGACATCCGGAATTTTGTTTTTGGGTCGAATGAAAGTTGATATACAGGCCTGCCAACAAACAAAGTGTGGAGGCAATTACCCGAAGTGGCATCCCAGATCTTGACTGTCTTATCGTCGGAGCCTGATGCGAGTCGCCGGCCGTCATTCGAGAAGACCACTGAGGTCACCCTGCTATTATGGCCCTCGAGAGTCTGGAGGCAATCACCCGAAGTGGCATCCCAGATCTTGACTGTCGTATCGTAGGAGCCTGATGCGAGTCGCCGGCCGTCATTCGAGAAGACCACTGAGGTCACCCTGTTATTATGGCCCTCGAGAGTCTGGAGGCAATCACCCGAAGTGGCATCCCAGATCTTGACTATCGTATCGTAGGAGCCTGATGCGAGTCGCTGGCCGTCATTCGAGAAGACCACTGCCCTCACCGAACCATCATGGCCCTCAAGAGTCTGCAGACAGTGATCCCAAACCGTTCCGACTTTTGGCTTGCCACATATCCATTTTGGTTCTTCTCGATTGAAAAGCTGTTTGATCAGGCTGCCAGACGGACTGAACACGAGAGCAGAGACATACACCTGTAATGGAGCGATCTCGATAGCCCCCTTCTGTGACAGAATGAACCGGCGAGCATCGTTGATAAGGCTATATAGCTCTCGAGATTTCACATTCCTCTATTTATTGTCAACTAGTCCCGGATTTAAAGCCAAAAAATAGAACTCACTGAGCAAGCCTCAAGTCTTTCCATCGCTCTGACCCCCTTAGGGATACTAGATAGCAAGCTGAGAGCTTCCAGCCAGTAGAGGTACTTGTCTTGTAAGAACTCATGAACTAAACCTCCATTCTTCATGCTTTCGTGAAACTCTCTGGCTCGGAGGCTCAGTAAAACCGGATTATATAGGAGAAATGCTAAAGTAAGGAGTGACTTGAATATGAGTTGAATGAGGTCGATGTACCAACGGGGGCTTTGTGCATATATATCAGTCAAAGGTTTTATCTCCACCTTGCCTTCCGGCGCTGATAGGTTCTGGGAACCGGGTGGTACCAGTTCGAGAAGATGGTCAGCCCAGTAGACGCAGGAATACCGGACTGCAGCGAGCGGATCAGGCTCTGGCGGTGACACTAGACTTCTGTGAAACCCAGGGTCTTTCAATTTGTACATATCTCGTTCTAATGTTCTTGAGAGATCCTGAAGCGAGATTGAAAAGATACGATAGTGCTGATGATCCACTTCGAAAGGTAAGATTTGTCTTCTTGCATTTGCATTCTCAAGCAAGAAATCCTTCGCAGATTGATGAACGAAGGATATCACTTCTGCGTCCTCTTGTATAGTCAAAAACGAGCCACAGGATGTAATGATCGATTTAGCGCCCTGAAGGTCAGGCTGTCCTAGCAGCGATACCATTTCGTCCCAATTGATGGGGCGGTAGACAACACAGGCAATTGAAAGGATCTGCTTGCAAACGTCCGCGTCCTTCCATGACTTGTTGAGGTCTTCGATCATTTTTGTATAGAAATTCTCAAGGCCTGCAGGAAACTTGGCTTCTAGAATTTGGAGCGTATGGCGGGCGAGGACGTCCATGCCCTGGAGCGCTTTACATACTAATGCTACCCAGAGAAAGGTGCCATGCGCGTTTGACTCCAGGTGCTGCTGAACGACGTGCCGCAGAGCTTTGTCATACCGTTTCTTATCTGCCAGTTCCTTCACCTTGTGCAATATATAGAGTTGCACAGATTCAGAAATCAAGGGTTGATCTGATTCGAGCGATAACACAATTTTTTGCTGCAAATTATTGAACTCGTTCTCGATGGTCTCCGAGGGCCGACTCGAGACCAATACTTTGATCCTGACAGACGATAAATTAGAGGCATCCGCAATCAATCGAAGAAGGTCTTGAAGGCCATGCCGACACTCGTCAAGAGCGTCCACAATCAGGTATAAACCCGGAAGATCTGGGTCCTGCAACGCTTCCATAAGTGTCTTACGTAACATAACCAATCTATTAATGTCGAGATAGTAAGGGATGTCCGTACGGTTCATCTTATCGCGTAGTCTCTTGTGTTCAGCAAAGAGAGACTCAAGAAGGCCGCGTACCACAGATGTGGCATCGTTGAATTGGTTGTCGGTCGCTTGGCAGAAGAAATAGATCGGTTTCCAACCATGACTCATTCCATTCTCGGATTCCTGCTGTAGCTTATCGATGATTCCACAGAGAAGCATGGTTTTACCTTTCCCGGGGTCTCCCCTGATCCAAAGCAACTGACTAGTCTGTGACTGGTGCCATTGCCGATAGTCCTTGCTCGAAAGGATCCACTTGAAAGACGGCGGGTAAAGCTTCTCTTTTTCTTCATCAAACTTCGAATAACTAGTAGGATATTGGCGTATTAAATTGTGAAGAAACCCCTGTGTAGACCCTTGTGTGGATCCTTCTTTTGATCAGCACTATTTGCATAAGAAGGGCTGTATCTCGCTGGACTCTCTATTGATATGTCGACAAGTGATATAAATATCATATACAAAATTAAGAAAGCCTTAGGGAGCCTCACCGAAATTGACTGTTCCGCCGCTGATATTATACCCTGAATTAAAGGTGTTCATACCTCCGCTTGGATTATTCTGCTGCCCCATGCCACCAGTGTTCACGGTTTGGGTGGCCTGAATCAAACTCGACGACTCGACAGCCGCATCATCTAAAGATGGCTCCACGTGAGAGATGTCCTCAAGGGCCTTCTTGATTTCCGCAACATCCTCTTGAGTCGCCAATCTGAACACCTGGTATAGACCAAGCTTCCTCAAGTCCTCCAGGATATCGTTCATTAGGTTCTCCACGCGATGCCCCTTGATGCCGCGCAAGATCTCGTGGTACCATCCGCGAAGCTTGTCCCAGCTTCTCGTATCTTTGTCTTGCTTGCATTTTTCCTCGAGCGTATTAAAAATTTGCTGCAGCTTGCCAGCTTTGACAGCGCATTCCTGAATAATTTGAGCGATCGTTTGTCGTTCCGCCTTAGTCAGACTTCGCTGCTCCAGCTGAGCACGAACATCTTCAAGGGTCCTCTGAGCTAGAGGGAGATGCTTTTTGACATGCTCAAACGCTTTCGGGAGGTTCGTGATTGTGTTGATGGTCGTACAAGCGGCAGAAATCGCCTGGAGGAGTCCGGCGACAGACGCGGCGATGCTGAGAGGATCCATGGATCACACAACGGACTATCCCAGAGTAAGTGGGTGAGGTTTGCCAAAGGGGCTAAGTGTAAGCGTCGGCTCATGAAGGGTAGAAGCCAGCTGGCAAAGCTACCCCTCTTTCAAGTTATAGCAGCCTAACAGGCTTTGCCGGCAGCTGCTATGAGCTAGCGAATCAAAGCTTTCGCTGTCTGTCCCCACACCACCAAGCCACCAGAGCGACCCGGCCCCTAACCGCTAAACCGAACCGATTGTCGACGAACCATTCACCTTTCAGGGGTGCCTGCGATGGTCGGAGCAGTCCGCTCCGGAAGATCTTAGGCTTTGAAGGGAGATTGTGTCAGGGTGTTTATTTTCAGCGTCCATCTCAACGCCCCCTCATCTGAACATCTCATGCCCCAATGTGTTCTAGTAGAATATAACATGTGCCTACCAGTTCAAGCCCTTTACTCCATATCGATACATTTTCTGCGCTTCTGTACTCTTCTAGGGTATTGTAGATCGTAATGTTCGCTCTCTAAGGCCAGCACCCTTTTCAATGCTATAATGCCTAGCGAAAAATAATCCTCGTTAAGCAAGGCCTTATTGTCGACAAGGATATACTAGATACAAATACTCACAGATCATCATCCTTCAGAAATCTTTCTGATCTTTCTTTCTGCTACCCCTCCATACGACTAGGTGAATGGCCGAAATTCACAGATCCGCCACTAATGTTGTACCCCGAGTTGAAGATGTTATCACCTCCGCTGGGATTATTCTGCTGACCAATGCCACCCTTATTGACTGTCTGTTGGGCGAGAACTGGAGCTGTCTGATTGAACTCTGAGTCGTCCAGCGACGGCCCTGCCTTGGCCAGGTCGTTGAGAGCCTCCTCAATTTCTGTGGTCGAAATTTGCACCACGTCGTGCAGACACAGCTCCTTCGCCCTTCCTAGGATGTGACTCATCAAGCACTCGATTCGAACCTCCTTATTCCGCTCCAATGCCTGAAGGTACAAGAGACGGACCGTAGCCCAGCTTTTGGAGTCTTGATTTGCTTGCATCTCTTCTCTAGCGCTTGAAGTATATCCCTCAGTTTGATGACATCATCAGAGCAGTGGTTGATTATGGTAGAAATAGAATGGGATTGTACCATCGTCATCGTTGCAGACTCAAGCTTGGTTTGGGCGGTCGTCAGTCTCCCCTCGACAAGTGAGAGATCCTTTGTGACCTCGCTGAATGCCCTCGGGAGGTCAGCAACGGTATCGATCGTCCCGTGGGAGGCGTGGAGAGCAGCGACATTCTCAAAAATCGCCTTGATAATGCCGAAAATATCCATAATTTGTCGGATGAACGGGTGGAATGTGTAAAATTTGGCAGTGGGATGGACAAGAGAGCCAGAAAGAATGATCATTTCCAGGCAGGGGAGTTCTTTTCGACAGAGACCAACTAATGGACGGAGAAGAATGTGGGGCTTCTGGGAGACATGCCCGCAAAGGGGATAGGGCTAGTGGCGTTCGTAGGAACGGATCGACCCGATCCAAGTCAGATCCAGAGCACCCCCATAGCCAGACAGACTCTACGAGGTACAACACGCTTTGACTGCATCATATGAAGAGGTCACTGATTCCCAGAGCTTTTAGTCATACATCATGAGAGCGAGGTGAGAGGTGCCGTGGCCAGACAACCGAATCAATCTCCTGCCAGCTCGGCTGTTTGGCTTGTTTGCAAGAGAATGGCTCTAGACACGCATAGCCCATACAACCATGATACGACAGCTATTTTTATGCCATTTTTTATTACCGTACTAGGATACTGCCGAAAGTGTGAGTTAGGGGCAATCTAGCTGTAAAAGGCATAGCGTCATGCAAAATACAGTTCAGCAAAGAATTAAAGAGAGTGTAGAGATGAAATTGATTTCGAGCGTCTCTGTAGTAGTTCTACGACACTTCTCGGAGCATTTTCTTGCTAACTTGTAATTTGCTTCAGCCTATTTCCACCCATCCCAATTTCCATGCCCTCCGGGACAAATGTGATTCGAATTCTATCAGACAAGGCATAGAAATTATACTTGAATAAACGATAGTGCTCTGCCATCTATAGATTCTTTTTAGTTCTCTGAACTGGTGTTGGATAGTAGGAGCCCTAAGAAAGTCAGAATACAAAACTACGGAGGCTTTTC